TAATATTACCATTTAACCTAAAAAAAAAAGGATCAAAAACTATGTAGATAAATTAATAAATGTTTTTAATGTATTTAGTCGAGGATCCCATTCAAAACAGTTGTACCTTCCTCAAATATTGAATAGTAGGTATTTATCTTATAACTTGCACACCTTCATCCGTTCTTGCTATAATTTCACCATTTTGGGTCCAAACCCTTGAATTTCCATATTTCTGACGAGCTTCTATGAAGTCATTATATTGTTGTTGAGTGAGATCTTCATTAACATATATCCCTGTTTTGTTTAGATTTTTCTTAGATTTATAGACCTTTCTTTTTATGTATGTAACAAACTTTACAATAACAGATCTTGGTTTTTCGTTTTTTTTTATTTATATATCTTATTAATGTCTCTTTGTTCACATTTTACTTTCATACCTTGATTAATTAGTTTTAAAATTTTTTCAAGTAAATATTCGTCGTCTGCTACCCCTTCGAATTTTAACGTATTTTTCCTTTGCATTAAATCTAATTGCTCAACTTTCTTTTCATTCGCTAATAGTTTTGTTTCTTGTACATGAATTTTTTCTGTTAATATATCCAAATTACCTTCAATTTTATTTAATTTATTTTCAAACTTTTCCAATTTTTTTTCTATCTTATCGAAAAGTTCATTATTTATATTTCTCATCATGCTCTCCAATTGGTCTGGATCCACAACTAATGGCTCGGATTGTAACAAAGCTCGGCTCTTCGGCATAATTCCAATTTCCTCGTAAATAACTACACTTTTCTGGATTTTTTTTTATTTATTGAAAACTGTTCACTTACAGTATGTAGTACACCAATTTTCAGATATTCTTACTCGCAACTTCCCACTTTAAATTAAAAATTTTCGGGAGCTTAACAAACACACGTGTTTACAATCGAGCGAACATCGATATGAATTAAATGAAATGGAAGAAATCATGGGAATAAATAAACATTTATATTTCTTTTAATATTTTTATTAATTTAAAAGAAGATATAAAGAAATATTTATATATGCATTACCAACAGTGTCTTCGTTTGTGTTTTATCAATGCAGGATAGCTCAAAATGGTCTGAACATAATCGCATTCCTGCACTTGCAATATTAAAATTAGTCATATCCATACACTTCTCCCATTTCCCCAAAAGATCCAATTCTGTAGGAAACTTTAAATAACAAGAACCATATTTAATTTAGTAATAATCGTTTTAATTCACAGTTTTTTTCATTTAATCGAAAAATGTTATTTGTATTCTTGTATGCTTGTATATTAATGTGTAAATTAGTAATTGTTTTAGTTTGTTCCGACAAAATAGATCTATTAACAAATTATTATAAAGATAATAGTTTTATTTACCTATAAAGGGTACGGGTACTCTTTTCACTTTATTTTCCACAATAAAAACACATCTCATCGTAACTTGCTGACACAATTAAATGACAAATGTGATGACAAATGAAAATAGAGGTTATGTTAAATAACATGGTCCGCCATATTATTTGCCTAAATCGGACAATTTTTCGGAACTTGTTTTAGGGGGCTATATCCTATCCAGTAAAATAATGCAGATCAGTGGTTGAGACCAATAATAATAAATAAAAAAAAATCAGAAAAGTGGAAATTATTATTGATAAAAGGTTGTTTACGAATTTCAAAAATTACTTTGCTGACTGATTTCTATAATATAATTTCAAATGTATCTGTCAACCATTTAGAATTTTGTAAAACCTCTCAGCGTATTTAAATTACCTAAATCATAGAATAGCTTCTGTTCCACCTATCCAAGTTCAAATTTTGTTGAATCAAATATTCTTTTCTCTTTGTATACTCGAAAAAAGTGAAGTCTTTATCCATTAAACATTAAGGAAATAACAAAGGCGATCTCGATCTCGATGTCTACACAAGAGTCTTGAATTCGAAATCCCAAGGCACAAAGTGAAATGCAGCGTAAACATTCTTCTGTTATAATTGCAATTAAACTCATGCTTTCCAAACAGTTTTCCATCCTTTAATTATATGCAAATATTTAAGGGGAACTATTAAAAATGCATTTTAATTTGTGTTCAGTAGTACAGTAGGGGAAGTTTTAAAAAATATTCCAAATACAGAAGGTAGAGTATTGTGAATATAAGTTAACAGTAAGAAACTAATTGTCATTTATCTATACAAAGGGCAATTATTCTCAATCTATAAAGATAATTACATAGATGAATGGAGAATGTCAATCGAGCAAGTAATTGTAAAGGAATTGAATGCAGGTATTGGAGATCTGATACTATATTGAAAAAGACGACGTGGTTCATATTATATTAATAGTATCAGAAAAATATTTTTTTATTTACCGAAGTGTTGTTTAAAAAATCATTGTTTAAGAATATAGGTGAAACAAAGCGCAGGTTTTATGACGTCAAAATCGGTATTATCCAAAAATATATAAGCAAGAGTATTGTCACGGCCGCCTATATACCGCCATGGCTTTGTTTACATTTTGTAATGATTGTCAAGATGTTATTCATTTATTTCCTAGTTCTATAACAAATAAAAATAAATGAAAATATATATTTATATGAAAATATATATTTATATGAAAATATATATTTATATGAAAATACCAACTGATAAATCACATCAAGTTATGCGATACAAGAAAAGGACAATAAACTAAGTGTAGGAAGACATACGACCCTTGAGCAAAATAAATTTCAAATAAAAAAATATTGTTACCGATCACCCTACAATGTGCTGTGCTCGTCATAAGTAAAGGTGTGAGTAAAAAAAGAAGAGAAAATATTCGAGAAATGTCTATAAATGTGATTTCACAACAAGAAACATCTGGATGTTTTGGGAAGGTTCTAGAATGTTAAAGCGAGCTATAAAAGTGGGTGATCCTGACTTTATAAGTTCATCCTACCAATTATATGGTTGCATTGTAAAGTTGATGTGAAATTAATTGAGATATCAAAAACCAGCTTAACATTGGTGGCAGCGGTGGGATACTAAATAAAAGTTCGTGGTAAATACTAGATCCACTGAGTACGAAACAGTCATGGACATTTTAGGTCTTCCAGCATGGTTTTCAAAGATGAAAGAGAAGACGAAAAAGCGCAGTAAGGAAGAAGAGGAGGAAAGGGAAGGCGCAGAAAGGGCGAAAATAGGAAATGGAAAAGCGAGAAGAAGAATAAGAAAGGCATAGGAAAGCAAAACAAGAGGAAAAGAAAAGGCATAGGAAGGACGAAAAAGAAAAGGAGAAGCGTAGAAGAGATGTGGTTGAAATTAAAAGTGGCTTGCGACAAATTCAAGAAAACTTCATCCAATAGGTAGGTCACATTAACAGTCAAAATAATCTCTTAGCGCAACAACAAGAGATTTTTAAAACTAATTTGAAACAACAAGAAATAGCCAGAGTTGAGTTGGAAAGGCAAATTAAAACTGAACTAATTGAATTAAAAAAAAAGTCATAGCCTAGCTTCGGTAAGCAATAGAGAAACTGAAAACACTACCTCGTTCTCCTCTATAACCGAACCAAGCCATATTCAAAACCCAGTTTCACAAGGCCGTACTATCAAAATCATTAAGCCACCCACGTTTGATGGTCAGACATGGGAAACGTATCAACTCCAATGTAAAACTGCAGCTAGAGCCAAAGTCTGGGCTAAAAAAAAAATAGTGGCTTTATTGATAGTGTCGCTGCGAGGATAGGTATCAAGTGTTTTATATTTACTCTCTCAAACGGAACCAAATTATTCATCTCTCGTTGAAAACAAGGTATGGTCAGCAGCATAGTCATAAACATAGCTGATATGAAAATATTGATTCATCTGGCCTATCCACAGACACCCAAAGATTTTTAAGAACAAATCGGCATATAGACATTTATTGATCGACAACAAGATGTGAAAATGCAGCAAGCCGTTCGACTACAACATAACACGACGCTGAAGAAGAAACTGATTGCAGCCTAGGAATACGAAGTGGTTAAACTCATATTCAAATCTTCTTTCGCAAAATTGACAGAAATTAGACTTTAGGAAAGTGAGGAGACCAATACTACTATTCCCCAACCAATTCTCTTACAAATCTTAAACAACTTGCAAAATATGCAACGAAACAACCAAAATAAAAGCAGAAGATGCTTAAACTGCGAAAAATCAGGCACCTTCAAAGAACCTTTAGAAGCAAATCAGTAAATGAGGTTAGAAAGTCACATAGATCAATCTCCCGAAGACCGTCACAAAGTCCAACACGAAATAATTACAGCAGATATGTATCAAGGAGAAACCAATCACCCACACCTAGCTGGCTTTCTAGCAATAATTAGGAAGTAGAGCATCATCATCGCGTAAAGACATGCAAACAAAATTCTTATAAAATAGTACGTAGTTGTTATCTAGAAGTTTCCTGTGGGTGCTGTCTATCGGGTTAAATCCTTGATGAACATTTTCTTTACTGGCCATATAGTCAAACTCCAAAAATACTTGAAAAGATCAGCTCTGGTTTTTTTCTGAAATTAAACTGCAAAGAAACGTTCTTACACTTTTTATGTGTTTTTTTGTGTTATGACCACATCTGTTCCCTACTTTTCTATTTTCTTGAATAATACTTTTGGTAACTTTTTTTATAGCCAATATAATCATGTCCCAAAACTCTACTCTTAGCAGAGCTCATTTTATCTTTTCGCAGTTTTTTTTTCTTGACCCCATTTTCCATATTATCTATTTTGCCATAATTTCTGTATTCAGAGCCTGATGCACTATTTCCAATTTTCTTGGTTACTTCTTCCCCAAAAGAATCTTCTTAATTACGGGTCTCTTGTACCTGTGGGATTGTAGTACTATCTATACTCTCTGCCAAAGTACCTTCCACATTATTTTCGCGGCTAATTATAATATTCTGAATGGGTTAAAGCTCAGTTATCACAGGTGTATCAACTTCGTCTACTTCAGGTTCAGGTTGTTCTAGTTGTGTAACTTTCCCATAGTTTTCGCAGCTAATCATAACATTTTGAACTGATTATAGTTGTATCCACTTCGACGATGTAAGGTTCAATTTGTTCTGGTTTTGTTACGTCCATGTTATTTTTACAGCTACGCATTGATTGGAGCTTAGGATATTCTAGTAGATCTGCATCACGTACAGAGATAGGACCTTCAAATTTCATCTGGATTTTTGGGGTGGTAGTTTTTAAGGTGCTATTTTTTAAAAGCTGGTTCTGCTGAAATACTATCGGAGTCGTCATTATATCAAAACTCTGACTTCTGATATCATCGACCAATAAAATGTTCGTCTCGCTAATACTAGCCTGAAAACTAGTTTCATTCGACGAGTTCATATTATTATTATTATTTACTAATAATTGCTTCTTTTGATTGGCCACCACAATACCTTCAGTTTTTTGCCTCACTATTGAAACTGGCATCTTGCCACGGCTTTCCATGTTCTGAAAACAAAAAATTACATGAATAACAACTAAAAGAATTATTATACAAAGCGGCCACTTTTTTGGATAAAGAATAATGAAGACAACAATTTAAGGACAAAAAGTTGTATTTTTAGTTGCTTAATCCGAAAAAAAAAATAATAAAATTATTTTTCACCTATGTTTATTATGAAAATAAACCAAAAATAATGATCCGTTCCGTTATGTAATGACATGATAATTATTTAGAAACAAACATAGGTGTTAAGGAAACCTCCTATGTGGCAGTCATATCTCAACAATGTTAGTTTTTTTCTCTATATATATTTTTAAATTTATTTTTTGTGATTAATGTAATCATACCGAAGTAAAATATTACTTTAATTTTTTTGTTTTGGAGCAGATTTGAGTAATATTTTACTATAAACAAGCGATATTGTTTGATATTGAAAAGTTAGGTTAGGTCATTATATATTACAGGTATAATTAGGAGAAATAATTTTGATTAAATACTTTACTTACCAGACTGTGTAATATACCAGAGCCTGTCACTTAACTTGTCACTAAATATTATTAGCGGAGCGAAATAATCCTCCCCATTTACTAAGTCAAAATAACCGTTATGAAAACATCCTATGTAGAGTATGCTATTGTTTACCTAAAACCCCCTATGTGGATCTTACAACGAACACCAGCTGAGAAGCTGTAAACTGAAAAGCATCCTATGTGGAATATGACCACATAGGAGGTATTTTTGAGACGAATTTGATGTTTACATACATAGGAGGTTTTTAAAAAGGCGCCGTTAAGGACATAGAAGGTCTAATAATCCATAAAACATCCAAAAATCAACCAAATGTAAGTAAATGCTAAAAATCGGTCTGAACTCCACATAGGAGGTATTTCACGATCAACGACGATATCAAAGTTGTATTTCAAATTAAACCTCTTTACAATTTTTTAAAGTTTGTCTCTTATGGTTGTTTTACGAATCGGTCTTATTTTTCTATTGCCATTTTTCTTCTTGTATTTATTTTAGGTTAAGAATGATTTTGATTGTAAATTATTAATTATTATTTTCTATGCTGATTATACAAATTTATCATAGGTAATTGCTTAATCATTTATGGTTCTTGTAAGACCGGACTATTCTTTGACTAGACGAGACTATTTAATATCTTCTTAAAATTCTTTCCTCTATCTACAGCAACACTTT